CACACCAAGGGACATCATAAGCAACATTTTCAAAACGAGCGATGATAAGAAAAATCAAACAACAGCCAGAAAAAGACACATTATGTAGAGAGAAACAAAGATAATGACGACAGTAGTTCTTATAAGAAGCAATGTGAGAAGAGAGTAACCTCTTTAAAGTGAGAAAAAACCTCCAACTGAGAACTTTACACCTCACAAAAATAACTTCTAAAACCAAAGGTGAGATAAAGACATGTTTGGACCTACAGAAGCTGAAAGAATTCACCAACAGCAGCCCCACACTATAAGAAATATAAAAGTGGACCTGGCTGGTTTGGCTCAGCGGATAGAGTGTCAGCCTGCGGACTAAAGGGTCCCGGGTTCGATTCCGGCCAAGGGCACATGCCCAGGTTTTGGGCTCGATCCCCAGTAGGGGGCGTGCAGGAGGCAGCCGAGCGATGATTCTCTCTCATCATTGATGTTTCTATCTCTTTCTCCCTTCTCCCTTCCTCTCTGAAATCAATAAAAATATATATATTAAAAAAAAAAAGAAATATGAAAGTGGCCCTGGCAGGTTTTGCTCAGTGGTTAGAGTGTTGGCCTGGGGACTGAAGGGTCCCGGGTTCTATTCTCGTTAGGGCACATGCTCAGGTTGTGGGCTCAATCCCAGTAGGGGACATGCAGGAGGCAGCCGAGCGATGATTCTCTCTCATCACTGATGTGTCTCTCTCTCCCTCTCCCTCTCTGAAATCAATCAAAATATATATATTTTTAAAATAAAAAGGTCATTTTACAGAAATAACGGGTAAATTCACCAGGGGGCTATAACAATCCTTAACATTTCTGCCCCTAATAGAAGAGCTTCAAATACATGAAGGAAAAACTACAAGGAGATGAAGAGCTACAACGGCTGTGGTTGAGAGCTTAGCACCTGGGCAGACAGGAACCCTGCAAGGCTCTGAGAGACAAGGACAACACTATCAACCAAGCCGACCTAATTGGAACTTGGGGGCCGTCCCAGCCCTCGACAGAATGCACATGCTTCCGGAGCATCTGATGGGCCATAAAGCAAGTGTGAATACATTTAAAAGGATCGAGTCCTACAAAGTATATTCTTGGACCTCCGTGGAATTAAATTAGAAATCAATAACAGAAAGACACTTAGAAACTGAATAACAAACTCCTAAATAATCCATAAGTAAAAAAAGACAGAAAGTGTTACTAGTTTTTCTAAATTTTTCATTGATGATTGATTTTAGAGAGAGAGGAAGGGAGAGAGGAAGAGAGAAAGATTGACTCGTTGTTCCACTTATTTATGGATTCACTGGCTGCTCCTGTATGTGCCCTGACCAGGGATGGAGCCTGCAGCCTTGGTATCGGGACGACGCTCTAACCAGCTGAGCGACCTGGCCAGGGCACTAGCTTTTTGAGCTGAATGAAAATGAAAGTACAACATGCAGCATTTATTGAAAGCCGGAAAGAAGTACGTGGGGACAAGTTTATTGCACTGAGTGGCTGTATATAAAAAAAGGCTTCAAATCAATAAATTCAGCTTCTACCTTAAGAAACTATAAAAGGGAGAGCAAATTAAACCCAAAGTAAGCAGAAGAAAGGAAATGATAAACATCAAAGCAAAACCTGATCATAGGGGAACGTAGGAAGACACAAATGAGCCGTGTCAGGAATGAGAGGAGACCTCACTACACAGGTGGGAATGAAGGAATGCTACGAACCACTTTATACCCATAAATTAACAATTTAGATGAAATGGACAAATTCCTTGAAGGACACAAACTATCAAATTCTCTCAAGAAGAAATAGGGAACCTAAATAGCCCTATCTCTATTGAAGAAATTTAATTTGTGATTAAATATCTTCCCATAAAGAAACTTCCGGGCTCAGATGGCTTCAATAATGAATTCTATTAATAAGGAGGGAAAAAATAATTCTATACGAATTCTTCCAGAAACTTGAAGAGGAGGAAATACTTTCAATTCATTATTTGAGGTTAGCATTATCCTGGTACCAAGACCAGACAACAACACAATAAAAGAAAACTACTCCATGATATCCATCATTAAAACAGATACAAAGAGCCCTGGCTGGTTTGGCTCAGTGGATAGAGCACCAGCCCGCAGACTGAAGGGTCCTGGGTTCAATTCCAGTCAAGGGCACATGCCCAGGTTTCAGGCTTGATCCCCATGGGGGGCCTGCAGGAGGCAACCGATCAATGATTCTCTCTCATCATTGATGTTTCTATCTCTCTATCTCCCTTCCTCTCAGAAATCAATAAAAGTATATTAAAAAAAAACAGATGCAAAGATTCTAAACAAAATTTTACCAAATCTAATACAATTATATATATATATATATATATATATATATATATATATATATAAAGGATATATATATATATAATATATATATATATGATATTATATACATACATACACACACACACACAATACATACATCAAGACGAAATAAGCTTTAGTCCAGGAATGCAGGGTTGGTTTAACATTTGAAAATCTATTGGTGTAATCCATTATATTAACAAATTTAAGAAGAAAATCCACATGATCATCTTAATAGATGCATTTTTTTTTTTTTACAAAATCCAATTTCTAGATAAAAACTCAGCCAATTGTTATTTGACGAGAACGTTCTGAAAGTGGTTAGGGTGCTTATGTAAAACCTACTGCTACAGCATTCTCACCAATGAAACCGAGTGTTTTCCTCCAGCATCAGCAACAAGACGAGAGGCCTGCTCTCACCACTTCTATTCAACATGGTACAGTGTTCTGGTTAGTATAATCAGGCAAGAAATAGAAATAAAAGGAATCCATATTGGAAAGGAAGAACTAAAACTTTCTTTGTATATGAAATGATAATCTATATAGAAAACCAGATGGGATTGGCAAAAAAGTTATTAGAACTAAGGTTGCAGGATGCAAAATCAAAATATAAAAATCAATTGTAGCCCAGCCAGTGTGGCTCAGTGGTTGAGCATCCACCCAGGAACCAAAAGGTCCCTAGTTCAATTCTCCGTCAGGGCACATACCTGGGTGGCAGGCTCGATCCCCATGGGGGGCGTGCAGGAAGGAGGCAGCCGATCAATGATTCTCTCATCATTGATGTTTCCATCTCTCTCTCCCTCCCCCAAATCAATAAAAATATAGTTAAAAACAACAGAAACATTAAAAAATCAATTGCATATCTATATAGCAGCAATGAACACGTGGGATGGAAACAATTTATAATAGTATCAAAAAGTCAGCTTTCCCAGGAGAATTCCGGGGTGATTCCTCGGTGAGATGTGGCATCCACCGAGAGAAAGGGTGCTCGGGCTTAGCAGGCCGAGAGGCTGCCTGAAGGGCAGACGGACGCAGCCCCTGCCAGAGGAGGTCGTGGTAGAGCGAGAATTAGCGTTAGCGTCAGTACCAGAGCTAGCGCTGGTCCAAGTCGGCGGGATGAAGACTCAGGAGAGCTCTCTGAAGTGGGATGTCCAAAGCAAGTCCCTTCAAGAATGGGCTCGAGGTCCTCAGAGGGCGTCCTGCACCCACAGCCACCGCCCCGGCAGCGCCCAGGGTCGGCCTGCCCTGTCCCAGGTGCTGGCCTGGCAGGGTGCAGTCCAGACCGGGCACCGAGGGACCCGTGGGACAGACACGTGCACGACGAAGGGAAGGAGGGAAGGGCTCACGCTCTCCACTTTGTAAACCCCCACTCCCTCGAGCTCCTTCACCATGAACATATACTCATGTGGACACATTCCATCCGGCATATTTATTTATTCTATTGGTTTCAGAGAAGGAGGGAGGGAGGGAGAGAGAAACACCAATGATGAGAGAGAATCATGGATCGGCCGCCTCCTGAACGCCCTACACCAGGATCGAGCCCACAGCCGGGCATGTGCCCTGACCAGGAATCGAACCGTGACCTCCTGGTTCATAGGTCAACGCTCAAACACTGAGCCATCCAGTCAAGTTATAGTGTATATTGAAATAATTCACATATTTAATTGATATATTCTTAAATAATTCAATTATTTAAATTTAAATATAGATCCAGGTAAATATTGGTATATAATATCAAGACTTCTTAAATAAAATGAAAAGGCATAAAATAAAAGCATAGTTTTATTTTTTATTTATTTATTATTATTATTATTTTTAGAGCAAGTGGAAGAGAGGGGGAAAGACAGAGAGAAACATTGATATGAGAGAAATATCAATTGGTTGCCTCCTGCACGAGCCCCAACCAGGGCCTGGGCCGGGGAGGAGCCTGCAACCCAGGTACGTGCCCTTGACCGGAATCTAACCCGGGACCCTTTGGTCCGCAGGCTGATGCTCTATCCACTGAGCCAAGCTGGCGAGGGCAAAGCATAGTTTTCTTTTTGTAGAAAAGTTGCATTTTATAAATACAGGCGCTTAGCAAAGATTCTGGAAGGACAGACACCAAACGGCAGCCACAGCTAACTCTGCGGCTGGAACGCGAGGGGCTTTCGTTAGGGTTTCTACATTCTTTTCTGTACCTAAGGAACTTCCTGTAATGAGAAATCAGTAACGCGCTGTCTTTAATTCACAAACATAAAGCCATTTAAACAGCGAATTGCTTTCAGTGCTACTAAGCCTGCATCCCAAATCCTCAGAGGCAGCCTTGCACCACAAGGTGGGCGGGGCCTCAGAGCATCAGCCACTGCAGCCAGGTCCTGGGAACCGGGAGCCACCTGGTCAGTACAAACCTGAAAACGAAGGGGTGGGACGGGGTGTCCGTGTCCGAGAGAATGACTCTCTGGGCGGGAGAGCCTCTCACTAGCTCAACTCTTCACGACAGAACGACCACGTGTCTTGTCCCCCACTACGTTCCCAACACATAGTAGGTGCTAAGTAAACATTAGCTGAGTGAATAAACAGGAGAAAATCCGCTCTAAGCGTATGGGGGTGCGGTAAACACAACCACTCTGCCATCCTGGGGGCCCCTCTTAGAAACAGAAACTGGTGTCTGGCAAGGAGCTAACCTACCGGGTGCTTGGCGGAGAGCCTTCCGGTCACTGTCCCCGTCTGGTTCCACGTGGAGGAGATGGCGCCCTTTACCAGAAGGAATCGGGATGAGCCCTGGCCATGCCACGTGAAGTCGAGAGCGCGCTGCGCCCTTCAGTGCCTCCCCTGCAGACAGCACTCCCTGTTCCTCCAGAGGCCCTACCCGCCCCGACTCCTGGGGTCAGATGCTGCCGACTGTGGTCAAGATGTCCCCTCACCCGCGGGAAACGGCAGCAGGACCGCAGGTCTCCGAGTCACTTAAGAACCCTGTGCGTGGGGAGAGGGCCGAGGGGCTCCAGGCGGGCCCGAGGGGGGCTGTGCAGCCCGCACACGCTGTGTGGCCTCAGACGAGTGACAGGATGTCTCTGAGTGCAGACCCTGGAAGTGACTGCGATGCGAGCTGCAGCCACAGGTGGGAGGGTGCGGGGTTGGCAGCCGGGCCTCCTGGGCCCCACTCCTGGGTACGGCGCCTCCTAAAGAGGCCTGAGTCCCAGCACAATCGCGGCCCACACTCCAGTTTATTAGACTACTAGAGGCCCAGTGCATGAAATTCGTGCACGGGGGGCGTGTTGTCCCTCAGCCCGGCCCGTACCTTCTCACAGTCGGACATCCTTAGCGCTGCCACGGAGGCAGGAGAGGCTCCCACCACCGCCACTGCGCTCGCCAGCCGTGAGCCCGGCTTCTGGCTGAGTGGCCCTCCCCCTGTGAGAGTGCACTGACCACCAGGGGGCAGCTCCTGTATTGAGCATCTTCCCCCTGGTGGTCAGTGCGCATCATAGCGACCAGTCATTCCTTCGTTCGGTCGATTTGCATATTAGCCTTTTATTATATAGGATTTCACCTTCAACCCAACTCTAAGAGCCTCCACACCGTCTGAACTCACAGGCACCCACATTCCTCACGCTTCAGCCCCGGTACCTCTTTCACGCAGGCGAGCAGCCCGTCCACAAAGGTTGACTTGATCTTGTGAACCTGTTACAGAGACAAGAAGCGCCACCTTCTTTGTTGAAGTCGTTCAACAGGAGCGAGCGTCAGCGCCACGTGTCACAAGACGACCCAGGACCCCGGAGTGGCCTTGTGGCCAGAATTAAACCACAGCGACCCGCTGAGAAGGGGGTCACCCCCCTTTCTACAGGTATTTGTTATTCTGGAGCCATGCTCTCACAGGAAAGTGAAGAGGATCAGGTGTGCTCCTGCCCGTCACCCCGTGCCCTGTGGTGCTCCTCAGTCCTCCTTCAGTCCTTCCATTACTTCAAGGACAAGGGCAGTTGTGACCACCTGCTCTCTAGCAGCTGCCCAGCCCTGGCAAAGAGCAGCCACGGGCTCAGTAAATAAAAAAACCGATGGTACTGCCCGGTGGGCGTGGCTCAGTGGTTGAGCATTGAACTATGGGCCAGGGGTGTGCAGGGGGCCACCGACCAATGATTCTCTCTCATCACTGATGTTTCTATCTCTCTTTCTCCCTTCCTCTCTAAAATCAATAAAAATCTATTAAAAAATAACAAAACCCAATGATACTAGCAATGTGAGTGCTACATGTGGTTCAAGGACAACAGAACTGCCGGCAGGTGCAGGAGCAGAGAACCAGGGCAGCTGGAAGGGAGGGGGCGTGTCAGTTACCAGTGAACGGGAACGCAGACGGTAAAACGCCACGCAGAGCTACGCACCAGGCCTGCCCCGGGCACGGAGGCGGCTTCCGCACGCGGTACTGATGGAGGGCACGTCACACTGTCACAGACACACCAACTCCTTGCTTCTGAGTGTTCGCCAGCCCCTCAATGCTGAGGGGGCTGACTGTGGGCGGGGTGACACCACATCGGGGTGCCAGCGAGCCGTGCGAACACGGGTCAACTTGAACGACTCCATTCCCTTCAGGGCCTCGTCGGGCTGCCTCAGCGACTGGATTTCCATCAACAGAGCCAGTGCCATAAGCTTCCCCTTCGTCACCAACTTATTAAAAAATTAACTTACCTGCCTGTATTCCAAAATGATCTTGGGTAATGGATGGAGGGCTTGCAGAGCAGTTAACTGAAAAATGAGAGTAAATATTATTAATATAGTCGTTCATTGAAGCTTAACATTCCAGACACTTATTTTCAGCCAGACAAAGTCGTAAAGAAAATGGTCTAAATTGAGCATATTTTCCAAAATGAAGATGCATAAGCAACTGAGCTTAGCAGGCGCCCTGACCTCCATCCCTTACAAATTGCTGCTGTCCTCGTGGCGCTAAGGGCACTTCGCGAGAGCGGGACGCGGTTTCCATGAGCGACTCCACGGCCAGGACGCGTAAGACACCACATGGCGGGTGTGGCTCAGCTGCCTGGAGTGTCGTCCCGGCACCAAAAGGCGGCGGTGATTCCGGGTCTGGGCACAAATCGGGTCTATCCTGGTCCAGCTGCGAATGGGAGGCAACGGATCGATGCTTCTCTCTCACATCAATGTCTCTCTCATTCTCTCTCTCTCCCTTCCTCTCTCTCAAAATCGATTTTTAAAAATTATTTAAAAAATATCACATGGCAGCCCTGGCTGGTTTGGCTCAGTGGAATAGAGCGTCAACCTGCGGACTGAAGGGTCCCGGGCTCAATTCCGGTCAAAGGCATATGCCTGGGTTGCGGGCTCCATGCCCAGTGGAGGGTGTGCAGGAGGCAGCCAATCAGCGATTCTTCCTCATGGCAGAGAAAACTGGGAAAATGCCTACAAACGTGTAACTTGATCGTTCAGGAACACCCAACACCTGAATCGCAGGGAGCTGGGCATGAAGTCAGGGAGGTAACATCAGAACATGATTAAGGATTTTCAAATTAGTTTTAAAAAGTCAAAATATAAAAAGTCAAAAATATACAGCAGAGTACAAGCTCATAAGAACACGATTTGCTGAAGTATCACAAAGTGAACACGCCTGGGCTCGCCCAGAGGGAACACCAGGCCCCTGCCCCCACCAGCCCGGCCTCTACCCCGCAGGCCACTGTTCCCAGGTTTTGAACTTCGTGTCAGTGCAACAGGGCAGGTTCTCTGTGTGTGTGGCTTCTGTGGTCAGCGTGATGGCTTATGGCTCACCATGTTGCCGTGGGAAGACTATGCCGTGAACGTGTAATGCTGATTGTTTGAACGCAGGTCAACGACTTCTCCCTCCCCCACGGATGGATATGTGGTTTTTCTACGTCAGGCCGCGGTGGACACACGGTACAGTGTTGGGAACGACGTCCGCAGCTGTTGGATGCACACGCGAGGAGGTGTGAGGTCGCCAGGCGCCGGGCCACCTGCAGCGGGGACCGTCCAGCAGTTCATCACACCCGGGAGCCCGTGCCCGCGTCTCGGGTAACGCGTGTTGCCCTGTCCTCACCCCTGCCGTCCTGGTGACGTGAGCGACGTCTCACTGGGCTGCTGGTGCGTATGCCCCGGTGACCGAGACGGCCGAACAGCGCGCGGTGTTTACTGACTGACTGCACCTCTTCTGCCAGGGTCCTGTGCGTGGCCTCGGCCCACGGGGAAACCGCTGTGCCTGCTCCTCCTGGACTGTGGGCCCTCGCCGGCCTGGACGGGCTCTTTCCCATGAACTGGAGGCGCCTTCTCCTGTGAGGCTCGCCCTTCCTCTTGGTTGGTGGCGCCTCTTCCTGAACAGAGGGTCTTCATTCCACTGTCGTCCGGTGTCGACCTCCTTCTTTATGGTCATGCATTTGTGTCCTGTCTAGAATGTCGCCTACATCAGGCCTTGACGATATTCTCTATGGTATCTCCACAGCCTTCACTGCTGTGCCTTGTACATGTGGGTGCACCTTCACTTGGCATTTCTTTCCGTGGAGGATGTGAAGTAGGGCCCAGAGGCACTGGTGCCTGATCATTTACGTCGCCAACCTCCTGCTCAGGGCTTTGCAGCGCAGCCTTCTGAGGTCAGGCGTTTCACACGCCCAGGGAGGCCTGCTCGGGGCTTCTCCACCCGCCCTCGGTCTGTTAGTTTACCCTTGAATCGACACCACACTGTACGGATCACTAATTAATTCCTGGTAATTTCCATTGCTATGTGGTTAGTCTTGCATCCAAGAGACTCAATCTTCCAATAGTGCTTTACCTTCCAAGATTACCTCGGTTCTTAGTTTTTGCGTTTCTCTTTAAATCTGGGAATCAGCTTGCCGATTTCTACAAAAACCGTCTGCCCGGGCTTCACGAGGATCATTTTGAATCTGTGAACTAGTCTGGGGACTGGTGCTCTGACTCCATCGTAGTGTGTGGGCCCGGAAGTGTGTGTCTGCAGGAAGACTGAGGGCGGGACTGAACAGCCCTGGGCCTGGGAGCTGGCACTGCTGGGAGGGTCCCGACTCAGTATCTCCCAGCTGCCCTTTTCTTAGACAAGCTACTCCTCAGGGAGGTGAAAATACTCAGCCAGAAACACTGCTTCCATACAACTCGCTCTCCTCGCCCTGATGCCTGACTCACAAGAGAGCTTTCTGAGCGCAGTCTGCCTGCGCATCGAGAAGAGGCCCCGAGAACTCTGAAAAGAATGAAGTGTTTGATCTCCTAACCTGGATAACGCCGGACCGGAGTTGGTCAATGATCCGGGCAGAGGCCACAGCGCCTGCTGCTCCGCTGGCTCCTGGCTCCGCACTCTTCTCATCCCCTCTCCCTGTGGCCACCGGTTGGCACCCCCTCTCTCCCGCTCCTCACGGGCACTTCTGAGTGCAGGTCCCTGGTTATCAATGCTCTGCTTAGCGTCAGCAGCACTTCGTGACCAGCCACCCGCCGCAGGCTCCGTGGCCGGGGCAGGGGTTTCTGCAAAGCTCCTGTGTGGCAGGAGGACCGGCGACGTCAGTCCAGATCGGCTGACTGCCTCCGCGCGCGTGTCTCAGCTGTGGTGCGACAACTCTGTGTCAATGGCTCATGAACACGTCTGTCTTAACAGGTCCAACACGGGGCTCTTTACTCCATCCCCCCCCACCACCACCAAAAACGGCTCCCCTCCCAGTCTCCCCTGAGTGGTGGCCATCTCTGCTCAGGTGCAGAACTAAGGAAGCCAGGGGTCCTGACTTTTGTTCACACTCATGGATGTTTCTTTCTGTCCTGAAAATGCTCTGCCCCATCCTCACGGCCATCGCGCGGACTGTGGAGACATGGGTCCCCACACACAGCGACAGCCCATCAGGAGCCTCCTCGTGCTCCACCAGCGACACGACGCACCACGGGCCTCTCAGACCCGCGTCAGTGCCGGCGGGACGGGGCCGCAGGACCGCACTGTGCTGCTCAGTAGGAGATGGTGCTGTGACTTTGGAGGACAGTGAGGGTTTCTTACAAAACTAAACGTCCTCTTGCCATACAATCCAGCCACCACACTTCTTGGTATTTACCCAAAGGAGGTGGAAACTTACGTCCACACAAAACCCTGCACACCGATGTTTAAAAGCTTTATTGCCAAAAGCTGGAGGCAGCCAAGCTGTCCCTCCGTAGACGACGGGAAAAAGCAGCCGCTACACCCAGACAAGGAATAGTACTCAGACTGAAGAGAAATGAGCGATCGAGCCAGGAACAGACGTGGAGGAACCTTCAGTGCCCATGACTAAGTGAGACCATCTGAGAAGGCCCCACACTGTGATCCCAAGTATATGAGTCTCGAGAAGACGACACGATGGGGACAGTGAACGGATCAGGGGCTGGAGGGAGGAACAGGCGGAGCACAGAGGATCTCCAGGGCACGGAACCGCTGTGTGAGTGTGAGGATGGATAATGCCATTACACACTTGTCCGGACCCCCGGGGCGCACAGCACCAGGGCGAGCCCTCTGCACGCTGTGCCCTCTGGGTGATGAGGTCGTGTCAGTCTAGGTTCCATGCCCGCAACAAGTGGACCCTCTGGTGGGGGTGTCGGTAGTGGGGGAGGCTCTGTGTGTGGGGGGAGGGGGGTATGAGACATCTCTGTGCCTTCTGCTGGATTTTGCTGTGGCCCTAAAACTGAGCTAAAGGTAAAGTCTGATAAAACCGTACCTGTGATCCCAGCTGCGCTGTGCTCGAACCTCCCAGGCTGCCCATTACCTGCAGGCTAAGGGAGGGGAAGGGAAGTGGAGAGGAGGCTTAATTTTGAATGTAGAACCATGTGCATGGGTTGCCTAGTAAATGTTCATCATTTTTTTTGTTTGTCTTTGTTATGTTAGTCCTCACCCAAGGATATTTTCCCATTGATTTTTTTTTTTTTTAGAGAGAATGGAAGGGAAGGAGGAGGGGGGAGAGAGAGAGAGAGAGGGAAACATCGATTGGTTGCCTCCCGCATGCTCCTGGACAGAGCGGGGATCAAGCCTGCAACCCAGGAACATGCCCTTGACCAGGAATCGAACTCAAGACCCTTTGGTTCAAGGGCCAACGCTCTCTCTAACTACTGAGCCAAGCCAGCCAGGCAAAACACTCATCTCTTTTAATGCACAGACTAGCATGACTGGTCCAGGAAAACAGAGTAAGGCCACTATGACTTAGGGCCCTCATGTTCTGGGGGAAATTAAGGTCACCGTCTTAACTCCGTCCACAAAGCACCCTACCCCACAAAGCACCCTACCCCGGCGGAGCTCCTTCCTCTCCCTCCGCTGTGGGCTGTCTCGGAGCAGCACAGGCAGCAGCAGGGAAGGGCGGCCCTGCCAGCTGGTGCCAGATGGAGAATGAATCCACCTAGGACCCCGCGCAGGTGCGGCCTCCCCAGGCGCCACCACCGCTGGAGCTGGGCTTGCTGCCCCTCCCTCTCAGCCACCAGGAGGGTCTCACAGTGGGTTCCGCCCCTGCTGCCGGGGCTCCACAAACAAACCACAGCCACCAGCTCAGCCACCAGGTGCCAGCTCCAGGCTGCCTGGTGCAGGGATGGAGTGAACCAGCCGGCGGAGGCTGGGCTCTGGGCCGCCCACATCCTAGTGGAATAAGCAAGCAGGCAACTAAGGAACCATGGGAAATGGTGAGTGTGTGTAGGAAAATGAAGGATGGGGCGTGAAGACCTTGGGGGAGAAGGGAGGGCCTGCTTGGTTGGTGGCGGGGGGGGGGGGGGACGGGGACGGGAGACAG